AAAAATGGGGAAAAGACTCCTGGAAGATCCCTCTTGGAAATCCCAAGGATCGGGCGCTTTGCCCGGAAGAAGATCCCAAGGGATTTAGGGATCCCTCCCACCTTCCAGCAGCTCCGTGGCCGCTTCCATGGCCTCCCTCTTCTCCCGGCGGCCTCCCGGGGGTCCCACGTTATCCATGAACCACAGGCGAGGCTCTTCCCACGGCATTCCCAACTGCTGCACGTGGATGATGCGATCGGCGTCCAGCGCTTCCCGGATCAGCGCTTTGGCCTCTTCCTCGTTCGCCATCCAAACCCGCCGGAATTTCTCGGCTCCGCTGAGCGCCAGATCCCTGGGGGAGGTGGAGAGGGGGGGAAAAAAAGAAAAAAAAACATCCCCGAGGGGATCAAGATCCCGCTGTGAGAGGGAATTTTCCGGAATTCCCGGCGCTTCCCACCTCAGGCGGCTCCGAGTCTCCTGGAATTGCCCCGTGATCCGCTCCAGTTCCCATTCCAGGCTCTGCTTTTCCTCCTGGAATTTCTTTTCCTGCTTGGCCATTTTGGTCCTCAGGAGGCTGAGGGAAGTCTGGAGTCTGGGAAGGGACGAAGAGCCCGGATTTGGGAATGCCCAGGAGTGGGAAAAGCTTTTGGGAATGGGAGGAGATTCCCGGGATGGATTTTTTTTTTGTTTGTTTGGGTTTTTTTGTTGGTTTTTTTTGGGGTTTTTTTTTGTTTTTTGGGTTTTTGTTGTTGTTTTTTGGGGTTTTTTTTGTTTGTTTGTTTGGTTTTTTTGTTTTTTTTTTTACCGATTGATTTTCCTTTTCTGCAGGGATCGGAGCGTGGAATTTTCCACGTCCAGCTGCCGGAGCACGTCCAGGTTGTATTCCAGCTTCACCTGGTTCAGGTGGTAAAGCCCCTTCATCTGCCGGAGCCTCTTCTCCAGGTACTGCAATTCCACGGGAAAAAAAAAAAAAAATCACCAAGACAAGCCTGGAATTTAGGGAAAAACCCGAGAAAACTCCCAGAAGGGTTTGGATTCCTCAGGAAAAAAAAAAAAAATAAATCCCAGCAGGGCCAAGGAGTTTTTTTTTCCCCTTTCCAGAGGATGGATGAAAGCCACGATCCAGGGGTTAATTCCCAAAATCCCACCTCAGGCAAATCCTAAACAACCAGCAGGGAAGTCCTTCCCAATTCCAGGCTCTCCCAGCTGGGAATTCCCACCCTAAATCCACTTCCAGCTTCAATTTTTGTGGGTTTGGTTTTCTGGTTGTTTTGTTTCTTTTTTTCCCCACGAGCAGCGGGCACAAGGAATTCCTGCTCCTCCTCCTCCACCTTTGGGAATTCTGTGCTTGTTGGGATTAATTTTGGGATATTTTTCTCCTATTTGGGGAAGAAAATATTCCTAATACCCCGTGAAAAACTTTCCCTGGAACAGCCTGAGGGATTTTTCCATGATTATCCCAAGGCTGCTCCCAAACCGGGATGAAGCCGTGGGACACGGAGAGGGAAAATTCTCTCCGGAGCCTCCCCCGGGCACAGCCCAAGGTTGTTTTTCCAACATTTCCCGTCTTTTCCAACGGTCCCATGGCATTCCCTGGGAATGCTGAGCTCCATCCCGAGCTCCGAGGCGCATCCCACGATTCCAGGTTATCGGGAATTGAGGGAGAGGAGCCGCTGGAAGGAGTCCAGGGAATGTCCCAGGGCTGGGAGAGCTGGGAATGTGCAGCTGGAT